ACAAGTCGGCCTTCCCCTCGCTCTCCTAAGCTGCCAGCGAGCAGCCGAGCGAGGTGCGGCAGGGTGAGCGCGTGAGTGGCTAGGGCGCCGTCCTTCGAGGTCGGTCCCGGTCGCTCCCCGATCTACCCCTGCCCCAAACTCGACCAGATCATCAGGTTGGCGCTGCGTTTCGACCTTGGTTCCTGTCGCCATCGATCTGTGGAAGTCGGGAGGAAGGAGAGGAGGCAAAGGCTGCAGCCGGCATGCAGGCGTTTTCCCTTTCATTGGAGGTTGCGGGCCGTCTTGGAAATGCCATCCTGGATGGTACGATGCTGCCACATCTCATCAAACATGCACGGAGTCGACCCTCGGCCTCTGTCCTTGTCGATGACGAGGATAGACGCGGGGCGGGGAGGTCCGCTTTTCTATCGCTCCAGTACCCAAACCCCATCCACCACGCACGCTGGCGCATCCGCGTGTCTATGCCGTCTATCCACCATCTCGCCATCCTCGCGGTGGACCCTCCCCTCTTCGATTACCTTCCCGTCTCCTCCTTCCACCCTCTTCGACCTCCTCGTCCCCCTTCACCTTGTCTTCCACACAAACTCACCAACCCCACCAAAAGAGAATGCAGAATCGTTTTCCAAGCAGATGATGACGACGCCTCTTCGTCTGGGACGGGGCTACGTGCGAGCCCGCAGCAAAGGGGGGCGTCGATGTGAAGAGCGAGCAGCTGGGCGCATCGCGCCCGACTTGGCGGACAGGGCCGGGTCGGAAAGCTACGACGCCGATGCTGCTGATTTGCGGCTCGGCGATAAGAGGGCCCTCGTATGTCTGTGCTGATCGCTGGTAGGAAGCGGTACGTCGATGATAGGCGCCGTATGGCTTCCCATGGCAAGCTCGAAGCGCATCAGAAGTCGACTCGGAGAAGTGGCAGAGGCTGGGCTGGCGTGTCGCGCGTCGCGGAGGCCAGCCTGGTGCAGGGGGGACAGTGCAGAGGCGCAGGCAGGCCGGGCCAGAGGCAGACCAACACGAGACGCGCGAGCCGAGCGAGGTTGCCAATTAATTTCCTACGTCTTCACCCACCACCTTCCACACCCTCTCTGGCCTCGGCCGTCGTCTCCTCGACATCAGCGCTTCCGCTCGTACACAGACAGAGAGCTTCGCACTTGGATAGCGAAGCCATCCCCTTCGAGGCTCTTCAAGCACAGACCGAGCCGCCGTTGCAGCGACTCGCAGCCCAACCTGGTGCTGCCACCTCCACTTACCTTGTCCCCAAAGCCTCGCCCCACCACACTTCCGCGCCGCTCAGTCCTGCCGCTCGAGCGAACCAGCATTGCATAGCAACCGACCTCTCGAGATGCGATCGTCCTCCAATTACGCTAGGAGGGACCGCAGGAGGCCCGCCGAAGACGTTGAAGCCGAGTCGAGTGCGCAGGCCCGCAAGCGCCAGGCCATGGAGCCTCCGCCCCCGCCACATGCGAATGGCGGCAATGGAGCACAGGCTGGCGAGTCGTACGGCAACGGAGGGGGTGCCGAAGGCGACGGAGACGAAGACGATGACGAGGTCGACTTCTCGCTGCTGCCCGCCGAAGGCATGCCGGAGACGGACAAGGCCAAGAAGGCCGCCGAGGGACTCGGCGACGATGCGGTGCTCCAAAAGTCAATCGACCTGGTCCGCTTCTCGCTTGCCTGCGAGTACAGCAAGACTGCGATCAAGAAGGATGCTGTATCGAAAAAGAGTGAGCGGTCCTGACTGCCCAATGGCGACGCCGGCTCATCCCCGGCCTTGGTCCTGTCAGTGGACTGACTCGCTGATATCGCAATCGACGCTCTATCTTGACTCCGCCGCGGCTCGCAGTTCTCAACGGCCGGCAGGGCGCAGCAGCATTTCCCGTCATCTTCAACAAGGCGCAAAGGATCCTCCGCAGCACGTTCGGGTACACCCTCGTCGAGCTGAGGCCGGCAGGCTCGGAGAACCAGCAGCTGCAAAAGCAAAACGAGACGGTGACCCAAACGGCTGACCCCGAGAGCTCGAGCAGGGGCAGAGCTGCCGATAAGAGCAAGCAGTCGCAGCGCGAGGATGCCGCCAAAGGTGAGCTGCCTCCCTTTCTCGCCTCGTACAGGCCGCCAATTCCATGAGGATGAACCTGCTCATCCATCTCTGCATCCGCCTCCTGCGTACATGCCTCAACAGCGAGCTCGACGACCAAGTCGTGGGCGCTGAGGTCGGTCTTGCCGCTTCAGCTCATCGGGAGGTTGTCGGCCAGGAATGACGATTTGGCGCGTGCGCTGCATGCTGGCGGTGAAGACTCTGCGGTGACGGCCGACGAGACGGGCACGGCTCTTGACTGGAAGAAGGCTGATCTTCAGCTCGGCAGCATTGGCTTGCTCTACGTCATACTCAGCCTCATCCTACTCAACGGCAGGGCCATCAGCCAAGGTGAGGATCGTCCCCATGGCCGACATAACGCGGGATGGTGCGTATCGACATGACAGGGTCGTCGACTGACCGCAATTCTCCCCGCATTTGGCCTCTTCTTCACTGCTACCGCAGCCCAACTGCTGGCCTACCTGCGACGTCTGCGCCTGTATCCTGAGGCGAGGCTACCGAGCAAGGTGCAGGTCGACGGCGCTGGACACGGTGGTGGCGATGCCGCGACCCAGGGAGCGACGCAGCGAACCCACCACGCGCGCGGCCGGCGAGCGGATGGCGGCGAGGCGTCGTTGGACGAGTTTCTGTATCTGCTTCGCAAGCAACACTACCTCGAGCGCAGCCGGACCGACGTGGTTGCGGCTGCGGGCAGTACGCAGGCGACGCAGCGCCACGCCACCGGGTCGCGGATGCGCGACGACGAGGAGGGGGCGTCTTACGAGTGGCGGTGGGGCAGCCGCGCCGAGGCCGAGGTGAGCGAGCAGAGCATCGCCAAGATGGTTGAGGCCATCTTCCACGAGGACGAGGCGACGGCGGGGGCCGACGAGGGCGAGCAGCATCCCGACGATGCGCAGGTGTCGCGGCGCAGGATGGCCCAGCGCCGGGAGTCGCTGCTGCGCGACATTGAGACGGCGGCCGGGTCGCAGCTTCTGGCCCTGTGACGAGAGAGCAGTGTCGCTCACGGGGCCGACTGCGGCAGCTGTCTTTGAAGGCTGAGCCAGCAATGCGACGACGTTCCCGATGCGCATCCAGACACAACTCAGCTCCGGCTGACCAGCCCGTGCTGCCGGTTTGGACAGAGATTCGTGCGTTCGGACGATGGACGTGAGCATGCGCATATCGCCCTGCGATGAAACAGGCAAGCACGTAGCCGCCAATCGGTCAGCAGGCTGTCAGCAGCACGGCGGATAGGTCCGTCTGCTGCGACGATAGAGCGACGGAGACAGCGAGGTGAGCTTGCTTGGGTTTGATCGGAGGGGCGCGGCAAGATCCGATAAGAGAAGGTGCCCGCCTCTCTGCTTTGCGCGCAGTCGACGCGCACTTGTTGGGGAGGCGGGCAGCCAGAGGCCAGGTGGATGGCGCATCGGCGCAGCGCGGTCGAGGCGGAAGAAAGGAAAACCAAGAAGCAAGCAGGCGCAGCCAGCCACGCCGAGTAGAGTGGGCCCGCCCACGCACCACCGGCCGTCGGCACGGCTTTGCTTGCCGGTGCTGCCTTCTCTTCCTGACTACTGACTCTTGCCTTCGAGCCCTGGCCTGGCCTCTTCCCCCAGCAGCTGAAAGGCCAGGCCAGGCAGGGTCCTCTGGCCCTGCGCCCTCCTCCACCCCACGTTGCCCTTGCCCTCGGGGTCTTGGGGGGGAAAGAGAGCCCAAAAGCCCTGGCCTAGCTTCGCTCAGGGTCAGGACCGTGCATGCGAGCAAGCAGGCCAACTCGAGCGTCTCCTCTCGACCTCACCAACCATCTCCGGCACCTCTCCCTTTCTTCCACCTCGTCTTCCATCTTGCCTCACTCGCCTTCCATCTTGCCTCACTCGCCTTCCATCTTGCCTCACTCGCCTTCCATCTTGCCTCACTCGCCTTCGTCGCCACTCACTCGCATTGGATCTCCTCTCCTGCTCCAATCCAACCTCCACCGCCCCCTCCCAGCCTAGCTCAGACTTCTACCAAAATGGGCGCAGCCTGCAAGGACGACGGCAACCAGTCGCTCACCGTCACCGACAACCGCACGGGCAAGGTCTACCAGATCCCCATCACCCGCAACTCGATCCCCGCCACCGCCTTCAAGGCCATCAAGGCCGACCCGAGGACCCACTGGCTCACCGACCGACCCGAGGACGAGACCGAGCAGGGCCTCCGCGTCTTCGACCCGGCCTTCCAGAACACGGCCGTCGTCGAGAGCCGCATCACCTACATCGACGGAGCCAGGGGCGTCCTCCGTCACAGGGGCATCCCCATCGAGCAGCTCGTCGAGAAGTCCTCGTTCCTCGAGACGGCCTACCTCATCATCTACGGCCAGCTGCCCTCGGGACCCAGCCTGAAGACGTTTGAAGACGAGGTCCTCCACCACACCTACCTGCACCAGGATGTCGAGCGCAACCTCGCCACGTTCCGCTACGACTCGCACCCCATGTCGATCCTCACCTCGGCCTTTGCGACGCTCGGCGCCTTTGCACCAGAGGCCAACCCTTCCCTGGCCGGGTCCAAGGTCTATACCAACGCCGCCAGCGGCAACCTCGAGGCCCTCAAGCTCATGGACAAGCAGATCCTCCGCATCATTGGCAAGGCGCCCACCCTTGCTGCCGCCGCCTACCGCGTCAGGCAAGGACGCCCCTTCAACCGCCCCCCGCAGGGCCTGTCGTACACTGAGAGCCTCCTGTACAGCATGGACCATCTCAGCGGCACCGAGTACCGCCCCAACCCCGTCTTCAGCAACGCGCTTGACAAGCTGTTTATCATCCACGCCGACCACGAGCTCAACTGCTCGACCGCGACCGTCCTGCAGGCGGGAAGCAGCCTCGTCGACCCCTACAGCGCCGTCGCAGCCGGCTGCGCCGCCCTCTACGGACCATCCCACGGAGGCGCCGCAGAGGCCTGCGTGCGTCAGCTCCTCGAGATCGGAACGCCAGACAACGTGCCGGGCTTCATGGCTGCCGTCGAGAAGCGCGAGCGCGTGCTGGTCGGGTTCGGCCACCGCGTGTACCGCAACGTCGACCCGCGCTCGACGGCGATCCGCAAGATCTGCGACGATGTGCTCAAGGTCACTGGCAAGAGCCCGCTGCTCGAGACGGCGCTGACGCTGGCCGACCTGGCGAGCAAGTCCGAGTTTATGCGCTCGCGCCAGCTCTACCCCAACGTCGACTTCTTCTCGGGCATCATCTACTACGCCATGGGCATCCCGCTCGACTTTTTCCCCGTCCTCTTTGCCGTGCCCCGCTGCGTCGGCTGGCTGGCCCACTGGCGGCAGAGCATGCTGCAGCGCGGCGGCGTAAAGATCTGGCGCCCGCGCCAGGTCTATGTCGGCGAAGGCGAGCGCGACTACGTCGACGTCGACGCGCGCAAGGAGAGCTGGGGCGCCTCGGTCTTTGACGCCCCCGTCCAGGTCACCCACGGTGGCGACACGATGCGCAACCGCCTTGCCACCTACCGCGACGAGGCGGGCAAGCTGCACACCAGGAGCAGGCTCTAGGCAGCCAGCCTCGTGTCGCGCACCAGTTCGGAACGGTGGTCGCGCGTACGCTTGTACGGCCAGAGTCTCGGGCCCCTCCGTTCTTTCGGCGCCTTACAACGTCCCGACTGTGGATCAGCCGTCTTTGTTCATCTCTCAGCTCAGAATCAACGATCGATTGGTCTTTCTTTGACGACGAGGTCTGGCGGGCGCGGTTCTGCCCCGATGCAGTGTGGCTCTTCACGTTGGGCCACCGCGACTCGAGTGCGCCTATGGTCTCACGTCGGGCCCTGCCGCAATCACTTGGCATCGTCATCTTCGTCATCGATCAGCTCATCTTCTTCGTGTTCCTCCTCGACGGCCAGATCGACGACCGCTTCGGTCTCGGCCTTGGTGCACGGCGAGTCAACGCGGGCCCTCTTGTTGCCTCCCTGCCTCGTGGCGCCGACCAAGTCCTTGGAGCCGCCGCACAGCTCCTTGACGAACTTGAGCTTGAGGCCAGCCAACTTGTTGTTTACCTGATAAACGAGGCGGCGAGGATCGATCGGCCCAGGTACTGTCAGTCAGGCCGAGCAGGATGCGCGTGTGGGGCACATTCTGAGGCGAAGGCAGCGGCGCACTCTCGATGAGTTCCTCTGTTCGAGACCGGGCATCTTGCAGATCTCCTGCGTGGGGTCGAAGGCCGACAGCGTCCCGCCATCGGCGCGGTAGGTGAGTTACGGCCGACTGCTCGAGGTGATGCGTAAACATGAACTCACGGAGCTGCTCCGCTGCGCCAAGTCAAACATGGCGTTGAGAAGGACACTGAGCTCCTCTGCGCATATGGACACAAAACGGAGGCGGTACATTGTCCTCGCCCGATCAGACTCCGTCACTGACCCTGATCTGTTGCAGTCGTCGTCCTTCCTCCTGGGTCCGGTCACGCTCAAAGCACGGCGACACGTACCGACAGACCAAGGAACCTTCTCAGCGCGTCGCGTGCAGGTCCGCTTCTTCCTGCCTTGCGACGACGTCGCGGATGCGGCTGCTGCGGGAGGATGGTCGCTCTTCTTGGTCGACCCCTCCTCGGCCGTGTCCGAGTCCGGGTCAGACTTGGTGTCCAGCTTGGTGATAGCGGCGGGTGTAGCTCGTCCTCGGCCTGCACCACGACCGCGTCCTCCGCCGCGTCCACGTCCACGTCCACGTCCGCGACCGCGACCGCGACCGCCGGTACTGCTCTCGACGGCGACGGTGGTGATCGATGTCTGTCGATGTCGAGTCCTCAAGATGCACGTGAGTGTAGGTGCCTCGCAACGCAGAGCGACACTTCAACCGTGGCTTACCATGTCGGTGTCTTCTTCGAGTTGCTAGACAGTCAGACAAAGTCGATGGTGAGAGTGCTGATGGAGGTGTGCAGGGATGAAGATGCATGCATTGCGAGGAGAGGTGCCTTTATCCTGCCTGGGCCTTGCCTGCTCCGCGTCGAAGCAGAGCAGCACCACTGTTCCTGGATCGATACAAGGCTCAGCCGTGCGGATGCGGAGGTGGCCTCGGGCACGCGACACTCTGACGACGCAGCGGCGCGGCTCCCATCGCCAGCTTTCCACCCCAATCAACCAAAGACCCGCTCCTCGCCAACACGCTCTGCTGAAAGCGGAGCTATGCGCGTCTGCCAGCCTTTCCGCCTTTCGTATCCGCCTTGCCGCCGTCAGGCGATGGATTGAGGGGACCGGCAACCATTCCTGCCAATTCGAGCGCGTCCCTCGCCGCGCGGTTGATCAGCTTGAATCTGTCCGCGCCCAGGTGGATGCCGCCAAACCACCGCGTCACGACGACAATCACGTTGTTCACCTCCTGGGGTATTGCAGCCAGACGGAAGAGGGGTACAGTCAGCACGGAGTTGGACCAAGTCAAATGACGGCAGGAGCAGCTGCGCGAGTCCGACTCACCAGTAGCGAAAGGAGGTGCGCAAGCCGTCCGCCGGCGGCCGACTCGCCGTCATCGTCGCAGTCGCGATGGATGACGCCATCATTAGTCTGGCAAACCCATGCGTTGATTGTGGGATGCGCGGCCTTGGCGACCCTTCGGTCGCTGAGGATCTGCGACAGCACTTCCGGCACCTTCGGCAGTCGAGCGACCGGGCAAGCAGATAAGCGGCAGAAGTCAGCGAGGCTGTCGAGGAAAGATTCGGGCGTCAACCTCCTCGACACCGGGGCACTCACCTCGTCCGGATGCCGTATCCGCGCGGCGTATCCTACGAACACCGACTTGCGATCCGATATCGGATCGGCCTGGATGATCTGCCCCTTGGACGATCGGCGCGACGCCGATGTTTTTGGCGGCTCATCAGCATCAAATGCCGTGACGTCCTCGTCGTGCGTCGCTTGGCCTGCATCTTCGGCAGCCGCATCGTTGCGACGAGAATCGAGTCCTCGATCGTTTGCGTTGGTGAGCCTCGACTGCTCGCGCTCGATCCACCAGTCGGACACCTTTTCCTTGACCCACTCGATGCCCTCAAAGAGGATGACCTCGCCGGTGGACCAATTAACGCCCTGGCTCATGCTGCCGCCGATCCAGTCGCTGGCGCCAAGGTCTGCCGCGCCGCCGCGGGAGTCGTTGGATTCCTTTTGATGGTAGAAGGCACGGAGGATCTCGCCAAAGAGGGAGTGGTCGACGCCGAAGCCTGCGATGTAGCGCGAGAGGAGCTGCAGCTGGGGTGGCTTGGACGAGTGCGGGTAGAAGGCAGGCAGAGTAATTGCGATGCGAATGGGGACGGGCTCGGGATCCGCGGCGGATGGTGAGGCGAGGTGCGGCTCGATTTCCGTCGAGAGGGCGAGTGTGACGCGCGATCCTGGCAGCCAGTCTTGCGGATCTGCCGTTGCGGCTGCCGTCGCCGCAGTCGCCGCCGATGAGCCGGTAGGGTTTGGTGATGCGCCGGGAGGGGCGATGCGGAGGAGGTGGAGCGCCTCGTCGGTATAGATGGACTGAAGGGCCATGAGCTCCTCTGATAGCTGCGCGGCCGCTTGCCTGCGTGTCGCAATGTCCCGAGGCCATTCTGGGTCGTCTTGGACGACGTCGACCGTCGAGGCGAAGGCTCCGTCGGATTGCGAGTAGGATTCGAGGCGAGCGATGAGCTGCGAGATGGCGTCGCCGCCGCTGCTGTCGGTCATGGTGGCGCCTCTGCAGTGACACGGGCAAGGAAGGGCGCAGAGGGCAAAAGGGGAGCGGTCCGCTGCTGAGCACAAGTCGCGTTCCGGTGCGGTGCGGTTCTCGAAGGCTGTCCGCCGCAAGCAACTGGGGGGAGGACGGTGGGGATGAAGCAAAGAAGAAGAAGCAACCCGAGAACAACCACGGGTTGGCCCCGCCCTAGTCGCCGGCGACGCCCCCCCGTGCCGACCCTTCCAGGAAAAGAAGAAGCTCTGCTCGTCGTCGTGTGGAGGCAAAGGTCGAGCTCAGGCCACGGATCCAGCTCACTTGAGGCCACCTCTGAGCGGTCGACACCGTGCGTGGGTGCTCCGCAATCGTGCCCTTGACACGCTCGCGCATCTGCACAAAGTCACAGCTCCAGGCCCCCTTCCAGCGAAGGGCTGCGGGCGCCGCCGAGATGGACCCAAGCATCCTTCGGATTGAAGAACAAAGAACGGGGGACGAGGTTACGAGCACCGTGGCCCCGGACGTGGGCTTAGCCAGACTGGGTCCGCCTTTGACCCGGCCGCGACCTGGTTGGCTGGTGGGCTGGCTTGGCTCGTCTCTTGGCTGCTGCCTAGCCTCTTTTTTTTCGTCGTCGGCGCTTGCCCGAGCCCAGCTGGCTGGCCTGGCCGGGAATGCCAGGTGGCCCCACCGGGCAACGCCAGAGGCAGCAGGCTCGCACCTGCCTCCTGGCCGAGGCAAGGCCAGCCAGGGTCAATCCTCCTGCAGGGCAGCCGGATCAAGCAGAGCAGAGGCGGCAGGCGCGGTCAGAGTCACCCGCAAACCAGCCGGATGGCCGGGGCCGTCGTCGGTTGTCCCGTCGCTCGGCCTCGCCCTCTGGCCTCCTCCAACAAACATACGTACCTCCTGGCCTGCTTGCTTGCTTGCTTGCTTGCTTGCTTGCTTGCAACTCTTCCCCACTTCACCGTCACCGCCGCCGCCGCCGCCGCTGCTGCTGCCTGCTGCACAAGCCCCCGATCTCCACCTCGGAACCTGCAGGAGACGAGCGACCATCTTTGTGCTGCTGCTGCTCCTCTCTCTGCTGCCACAGCGAGCCGACTTCTCCTTCTTCGCTCGACGACCATCATCGACCGGGATTGCTCCATCCGCCACCATCATCATCTTTACTCCGTCAATTCGTCTTAGCTCCTCCCCAATCGCCTTCGTAGCCGCGCGTCTGAGACGGGCCGTCTCCTACCCGCTGTAGCCATCAAGGCACACTGGCCCCTTCTCCGCGTTCGTCGGAATCGCTCCGAGGGCCTCTGACCCGCCTGGCCCACTAGCCCGGCGCAGTCTGGCAAACGTCGAGGCATGTCGGCTGCCGTCAAAGCTGCCCTCGCCGCCCGGCGGGCTGCCAACCGCTCCCGCTCCACCTCGCCCTCGAAACCGGCTCAGTCGAGTGATCAAGAGCCAAACCACCTCGGCTCACCCGCCAACCAACTAGACTCGGCCTTCATCAGCCCCTTTGGCTCCCCCAAGCCCCGCGGCAGGGCCCTCGGAACGAGCACCGCAAACAGCGGCGCCGACGCCGCTTCCGCCGACGCCGGCGACGTGATCCAGAAGCCCATCGAAGACATTGTCCGCAGCAGCGTCGACAACGGTCGAGCCAACCTCGCATCGCGCTCGCCCGCCCTCACAGAGGTGCCCCATCTCCTCCTCACCCTCCTCTCCGACGAACCGCCGACGTGGTTCCAGCAGATCCCCGACGACGAGCGTGGGCCCTGGTACGCTCGCGAGGAGCTCCGCACGCTCCAGCTCGCCAACAACGACATCCAGCACGTCAGCCCCAGAATCTCCGAGTTCCCTCTGCTCAGCAGGCTCGAACTGCAGAACAACCGCATCGCCTCGATCCCAGACTCGTTCTTCCACCTCACCGCCCTGACCACCGTCAGCCTCGCCAACAACGGCCTCACCGCCGTCCCCACCTGCCTGCTGGCCATCGACACCCTCGTCACTCTCAACCTCGCCCGCAACAAGATCAGCAAGCTCTGGGATGACGCCTCCGTCCTGCACGCTCGAGGCGAGCGCGAGCAGTGGGATCGTGACCAGGCTCGGGCCGACGACAGCGTGTGGTCCGGTCTCTCGGGTGGAAACAAGGGAAAAGCGGTCAAGCCGCTGGCAGGAGCCAGGGAGGCGCCCATGCATGGCCTCAAGTCCCTCGACCTGAGCAAAAACAAGCTCGACAATGCCGCGCTCGGGATCCCGGACCTCTCGCGCAGAAAGCATGCCGCCGCCTCTGCTGGCGGTGCTGCGTCGTCACCGGTGCGACTGCCGCCATCGCTTAAGAAGCTCGATCTAGGCCATAACGCCCTCCGCGGTCCGATCTCGATATTGGCCTTCGCAGGCCTGTCGCAGCTCGAAGACCTGAGCCTGCGAGGCAGCGGCATCGGCGACGACGTCTTCCTGGCGCAGAATGACGAGAGCGCTGCTGCCACGCAGGCTTTCACGGCGTTGACGACCCTGGATCTCGGTGGATGCGAGCTCGACGATCTGAACAGGCTGGAGGAGCTGTTCAGCTCCAAGCCAACCAAGCCAGCCGAGTCCGCTCTGATCGCCGATACCGTGGTCCAGCCTGGTGACCGGGAGGCAGAAGAAGACCTCCGCGTTGCCAGCACGGGCGTTGCAGCCCACCAGCTCGTTCGGGTCGCGAACCGGCAATCACCGTCCGACCTAGACAGGATGGTGAAAAACAACGATGGCGCCGTCCTCTGCCTCTTGCTCGATGGCAACCCGCTGCGTGAGGAGGCGCTCAAGCAGAAGAGAGGCATCCGAGCCTCTGCCTCGCCCGTCAAGCGTGCCAACCCTTCGGCGCCCCCCAACGACGCGACTGCGGCTCTCCAAGCACAGGACCCAGCGATCGCCGCCGTCAGCCGCACCTCGAGTCCTGCGATGCCATCGATGCCGGGGACGCCGTCGCGTGGGGTCGCCGATGGCGCCGACGCCGGGACCTCTGCCGAGCCAGATGCCGGCCCTGGCGCAGGTGGCGAGAACATTCTCCACCAGTTCCTCCGCGGCCGCTCGACGCCTCGACGGGTGCCCGATGGCATCAACAAGACCGGCCTTAGCGACTGGGACGGAGAGGCGAGCCCAGTCCGTCCCAGCCGAGGCTCCAAGGATCGCGGTACGTCTCAGCAGCGGTCCAACTCGGACGAGGCCGCGGACAAAGACCCAGGCAGCGCTCTGGCGACCGCCAAGCTCAGCACCAAGAAGAAGGAGGCTCTCGGGCAGGTGCCCTGCAAATTCTTCCGCAGCAACGGCTGCTCGGCCGGCAGCTCCTGCCCGTTTGCCCACACGCTGCCCGGCGATGGCCAGCAGAAGGCGACGTGTCAGTGGTTCCTGAAGGGGAGCTGCCGCTTCGGACACAAGTGCGCGCTGGCCCACGTGCTGCCAGGACAACCGATGAGCGTTAGTCTCCCTCTTTGCGTCTGACTGATGGCCCTTGCTGCCTCTGCCGGCAGCGTGATGGTTGCGGTTGCTGCGCTCGCTCCCCTCGTCCCAACGGCCGCCACATTCTCCGGGCCATCTTGTGGTCGCAGACCTGTCAGCTGACTCCGTTTCCTCGCTCCGCTTTTTGCTCCGCGCTGCTATTTCCTGGACTGCTGCAGATGGATCGCAAAAATAAAAGAGCAGCGCAGCATGGACAGCCGCTGCCGCAAGCGCCGACGCAGACGGTTCAGCCAACTAGCGCCAGCAGCGGATCGCAGCAGGCCTCAAACAGGGCGCAGCAGAATGGCCTCGCCCAGCATCCAATTCCCTCTCAGCTGCAGACTTCCCGTCAGCAGATGTCAGACCCTCAGCAGCCTCACTCCCAATTCTCGCAGCAGCAGCCGACCTCATCTCCTTCCTACCTCCAGCAGCAGCACCACACGCCCCAGCCTCCGGGTCAGCGGCAGTCGTACCAGCAGCAGCCAACGATGCTGTCGGATGCGGCGCGCCAGCAAGTGCACTCGTTCAGCGGGCGAGACCACGAGCTGCCGTTTGGCTTACCCGACGACCTGCAAGCCGTCTCGCCACCGCCAAACAGTGCAACCCGTTCCCTTCTAGACACGCTCAACGGACCGACTGCGGAGCGCAGCAAAGAGGCTCTTGTCACGCCGCAGCACCGTGCGAACCTTCTGAGCGAGCTCAACAACGCCGGATCGCTCAGCTCCTCGCAAAGACCGCTGGCCGTTCCAGGCACCACGGCGTCCTCAAGCTTTGGCGCCGCGCACCCAGGTCATGGCGGCCTGAGCCTCGGCAGCCCGCCCGCAGCTAGGGCTTTCGGCACAAGCCCGTTCAGTCACCCAGGGGGACACGGTCTCTTCTTCAGCGGCAGCCAGGACTCGGAAGGGGGTGCTGGCCCCTTTGCGCGGACCGGGCGCGATGCAATGTTCGGGGCGCGCAGCATGGGCCGGATCGACGACGCTGGCACCAAGGCCAAGTGGTGGAGCAGCCTTGGCGGCGCCGGGCCAAAGGAGGAAGAAGACGATGACGTTGACAACGACGGCACCGGAGCCGAAGACTTCCTACCGTCGAGCCTATCGGACCTCCTCACCCCTGCCGAGCTGGAGCGGCGGCGTCGCAACTCGCAAATGTCGACCTCGCTTGGCGCTGGTGCCAGGGAGGGTCGGGTCATGCCGCAGAGCCTCCCGGCCCAGGCCGGCGTTGTGCTGGGTAGCAGCTTCAATGAGGCTGGCCTTGGCTACGGGCGGCGTGCCATTGGGGCTGAGCGAGGCCCTCGCGATCCCGCCAGGACCGGCAACATTTCCACCGGCTTCCTTCAGCGAAGTCAGGGCGATGTGGACGATGTGCATGGTCCTCGGCCGCCCGGCGAGCGTCGCTTCTCTTCTGGACTCGACGGCATCGCGCTGAACGAAGGTGCGGTGGCTTCGAGCCCGGGACGCGCGGCACTCCACGCACCCGGGCAGAGCCTGCCGCAGGGCCTGGCCGCAGGGCTGAGCCGGCTTCACCTGGCGGCCGGCCGTACTCCCGATCAGGGCAACCTTGGCGTCGGAAGCGGCAGTAACATCGGCCACCTTTCCGCTAACGCTGCTGGATCTGCATCGCAGCATGCGCAGCCCGGTAACCCTCGGAACCTGGGAGCCCATCTCAACGGCGACTACGAGCTTGGCCCGACCGCTCCATCATCGGTTCTCCCTCACCGCAGCCCGCTCGGCATGGCCATTGGCAGTGGCAGCGGGCGGCTCAGCGGCGCCTTTGGCTCCCCGGGCACCATCGGGTCTGGCGCTCATTTCTCGCCGTCGTCGTTTGGCGCCCAGCGCCGCACATTTGGCGGCGAGCCCGCGTCGATGGAGAGCGACAGCGCAAAGCACCAGCACGCCGTTGGCGCGGGTTCCGGCGTATCTGTTGCCATCGGGACCGGAGCCGGGCCCGGTCGGCCGCATCAGCATCCCGGCATGCAGCGCCTGCGCCCGTCGTCGTCGAGCATCACGCCGCACAGCCCGCTCACACTGCCAGAGTTCACCCACGAGGAGGTCGAGGAGGAGGCCATCTTCGAGCTCGAATGAGGTCCTGCCGTCGAGGCAGTGCCCGCCGCCCGCGCCGCCAAAATTGCACTACGCGCGACTTTGCTGCTGTCCATGCTGCTCAGCTTGACTCTCTCATTGCGATCCCTCTCACGTTCTCTCCCAGCCTTCCCAATCCCCCCTGTCTCCGCACCCCCATCCCTCGTACAAAACGCAACCCTCGACCCCCTGCGCAGCTTCTAGACACGCATACTCGAAATGCATCCGGGCTTGTCCTGGAAAAAATAAAAAGAGGGAATGAGAGAGGCTGTTTGCCAGCCTCTCCATCGACCCCCAATCGAAATTGCAGCCCATCATAGATGCCGAGCGGATCTTACACCATCCTTGTGTCACGCGGTGTGCGGCGGGAGGCTCGTCGATGCGGCGTGGCGTGTCGGCCAGGATGCGCCTAGGCTGACCTCCTCACCCGCGCCACCTCGTCGCGCACCTGCTGACTAATGTAGAGATCCTCGGCCAGGTCCTCGAACGGCGTGTCGCTACCGCCCAGCGAAAAGGCGGCGAGGTCATTGTGGGTGAACTTGTGAGCGGTGCGAAGGTAGACTTCGTCGATGAGGAATTGGGCGCTGTTCGGAGGCGAAGAGCAAGCAGATCCGATGGCATGGGAGATGAGGTGGGATCAAGTCGTGCTTCAGCATCGTTCGCCGCCTCGTGTGCTCGGAGTTGCAGAGCGGTGCAGTGGAGACGGAGGAGGGGGAGGGGGGGGGCGGGGGGGGGGGGGGGGGGGGTAGGGGGGTCGGTCGGCGACGTCGACGGTGACGTGTCGCGCGTCGG